CCTGCTTCCTCCATTTCATTATATTGACGCCTAGCCCCGCCCCCAACCTCCTGCACATCCAACTTCACTTCCTATCGGCTTCCTGGAGGTTTCGACTGACCCAACCAGGGCCAGTGGGTTAGTCAAAACATTAGGCCCCTTGTTTTTAGACTATCCTGATGAGTGCGGCTGCTGAACAGGTGAGGATGTCATTGAAAGCAGCCACAAAAAGCCCGGCAGTGTCGTGATGGGCCAAGGACCAGATTTTAGAAGGAAATCGAGAGAGGGGTGACCCTGACTTAAGGCGGTTTGGGAACATGGTTATGAACCAGGCCGACTCAGGTGTGAGATACTTCCTAGCTATGTGACTGTGGCTGAGACACTCAGCCTTTCTAAGGCTCAATGTTCTTTCCTGAAAATCGGAGATGACAGTCTCTTTCTCTGGGTTGCCGTGAGGATCAAATAAAGTTCAGCGGCAGCTCTCGCTAAACCGGTAGCTGCGCTTGCTATCACCGATCTGTCCCTAAGGGTCACGGACCCACAGGCACGCCTTACATGCCTGGGAAGGTCCACCCCGCCCCCGCCAGGTCCCCCAGCCTCATGCCTTGAACATGATGCTGGTTCGGTACCTGGTAGGCAGTCTTGGTGATGGTCACACGGCTCCCCTTCGGCTGGTGAGGTTTCGTTAGCATCACTGGAAAGTTTACCCCGGTTTTTCTCTGGGGACAAGAAGATCTGTGATCAGAAGCCAAGGCCCACAGAGTAGAAAGGTTAAGCACATGGACGCGGGTGTCAGAGTCCTCACACCGCCACTCCCGCAGTGTGGCTCGGACACTCCTCCTCGAGTTACCTCTCCTCTAAAATGGGATCGACAGCGGTGCAGACCTAACTTTTTTTTTTTAGGGTAGAATAAGTTGATACACAGAAGACATTTGGCACAGGATTAGCTCTCAACAGCGGCAGTTCCAGCTGGGGTGTCCATTCCAGGGCAGACACCATGCCTTGCCCCACCCCCACTGTAGGTCGGGCTGGGGGAAGCGGGGTGGACGTACCTTTCTTTTTTGCAGAGGGCCAGACCTCAGGTTTTAAGTCCTCGTAATCGGTCCAGTCAAACAAGGCCATGTCCAGCGTGGGCATCACGTCTCCGTCAGGCCTGGGCTGAGCCTGCAGGAGGTGAGTAGACAGGAGGAAGCAGGAATTTGGGGCTCCAGGGACAGAGGCAAAGGAGGGGCTCCCCAGAGGCCAGTTCACCCTCTGCTAGAATCCCAGCCCCAGGACACTGAGATAGCCACCTGAGGTTCCTGCTCCAGCAGCCACTTGGGCAATTTTCTCCCTGTGCAGCCACCAGCTCAGCAGGATTGTGCCTGCGGGCAACTGATGCAGACAGAGGAATTGTCTATAGGCCATTATGCCTGCTCAGGGTGCCTACACCCAGCTGGAGGGAGGGAGTTGGATGAAGCCAGTTGCTTGCTCCCCTGCCCCTTCTCTCCCCTGCACAAGTGATCAGCTCTCTGTGGCACCACTGAGGCCACGGTCGTGGCTTGGTTCCATTCACAGCCCCAGCCAGTCGTCTTGGGGCTAGATCTGCACACGGTGGGCAACGAAGGCAACTTCTGGGGCTGGGCGCTCTACCGATGGCCTTCGGGGGGCCTGTGACGGCATGGGTAAACACGTGTTCCTTGGGGATGGTCCATAGCTTTTATCAGAACCTCAGAGAGTGCAAGACCCATAAGAGAATAAGAAAGATCTACTGCTAAAACTTTTTTTCCTTCTACATATATATTTTATTAATCATTTTAAATGACATTATTTTTGAAAAAATTTAAAGCCTCACCTACTTGCCTGCTCTCTCCATCTTTTTTAAAGGTCTGAAGCAGGCGTTAAGTGTTAACTCATGCTTGTTAATTACTGGTCGTGGGGACGTGGTTTTTTACATTATCATTATTCTCTGTACTTTTCAGAATGTATAAAATTCTTCCCCAAGGGCTTTGCTCTTCTCAGGGCAGATACCAGTGTGCTGAGCTGGCACTGGCCTCCTTGGCTGTCCCTGGAGTGAGCCCCCAGGACCTCCTTCTCCTGGATGGTGGCAGTCCTTCTGGGATGGCGTGCCCACCGGGCTGTAGCTGGGCTGACGGGCATCAGGACACCTGGTTTCCAGCCAACCCCCGTGGCCTCTACCAATTCCCTCCCACCCCTGTGCCTCATGATGTGGTCTCAGGGACTCTTCCAGCTCCAAGGCCATTCTGAAGCCCCTTACCTGGGGCCACAGGGATGTGACAGGCAGGATCAGGGACTCTTCCGTGGCAGGTGCTGCCTCAAAGGTGGTTAGGTAGAGTATGGTGGGGGCCAGGCTCGTGGAAGATTCCTCCATCGTGGTATCTGGAGCCTGGTCTTCAGAGAGCTCCACTTTCTTCATCAGGGAGCTGGGACCTCGGACCAAGGCTCGGCCTGCGACACGGAGCGAGAAACACAGGCTTTATCTGTTTGTTACTCCATATGGGCCCAAAGCAGAACCCACATTTCCTCCTGCAAACAAGGGAGTGAAGAGTGGGTGTAGGGACCATGTGACAAGCCGGTGGCTCAGTAAACACCCTGTTGCCCACCCTCTTGGGGAGGTGGAAATGGGGTCTGGGTGAGGGGAATGTCTTGGATGAACTTGCAATGTTGCTGAGGAGACCGCCCAAGAATTCTTCCTCTAAAGCAACATTCCGGCAAGTCCAAGTTGGGGTTAGCTGGGTGTATCCAGGGGTGTAAATGCAGCAAATGGGAACGAATAGGATTAACTAGAGCAGGCTTTCCGGAGGAGGTAAAATTTGAGTAGCGGAGCAACGTGATGAGGCTGAGAGGCATTGCAGGGGGAGAGCGGAAGCTCATGACACGCAAGTGAATGCTTCTACGTGGCGATAATCATCGCCCTGTTTATTGAGCGCCGCCGGGTTGAGGACCCGTTGAAGGCCTGCATTCAATGCTTTACCAGCATGATTTCACTTAAGCTTTGCAGGAGCTTGGGGAGGTAGGTATTTTAGCCTCATCCACGAGAGGAAACCGAAGCACAGAGAGGCAACTTGCCCGAGGGCACACAGCTAGAGAATATTGAAGTCCGAATTCCAACCCAGGTCCACCTGAGCGCAAAGTCAATACTTTTAATCACTGATGCCGCCTTCCAAGACACATGGGCATGAGGTAGGGTGAGTATGACGAGGCAGGGTCGGGGTGGTCGGGAACAAAGCGGCTTTGAGAGAAGACCAGGCTCTCCTTGCCTCTTTTTGTCAGGCAAGCTCTGACTTTCAGGTTGGTTGGGTCAGTTGGGGTCACCTCATCCTCCAGAAAAGAATCCACTCCATTCATTTTCTAGGCTTCACAGCTGGTCAGCAGGGCTAGGCCTGGTCTCCAGAATTCGGATGTCCCCTCCTCTCCTCGCCTACTCTCTTGGGAGGGACCCATTGATCCACTGGAGCTGGGGGCCGGAGCTATGCTGAGCTGAGCTTATGCCCCATGTGTTCCCTCTGGCTTGTCCTCAAGGATGTCAGCATCCCCTCCTCAACCTGATATATGACCTCCACGAACGGGGGAGGCTGAGAGTCTAAGTCGACCCCCTTCCTCCACCTGCCAGCTGTGTTCTGCCACTTGGAGGGTCTTGGCAGGCCTGGCAGGGAAGCAAGCCCTAGCTTGCCGGGGATAGGGGGTGAGGCTCCACCACTGTCCTGCAGGACCCCTGCCCCATCCATGCTTTTAGCACTAGACCTGCCCCTAAAGGCAGCCTTGTCATATGAAGAGATTTGGAAGCTGCCAAGGTTGCCTATGCTCATGTGGGCTGGAGTCCAGGTGAGTCTGGGGAGGAGCCAGCTGGGTGGAGCTGCTGGGACAAGTTTGTTGAGAGACTGAATGGGCAGAGAGAGGAGGAGGCTGGGTCCACTGGGAGGCTAGATGCTCACAGGGATCCGGGAATGTGGAGGAGACATAATGGAAGGTGAGGAGGGCTGTGGCGGTTGGAAAGCACCCCACGAAACAAGCAGGGCAGAGGCAGGAGGGGCAGGGATGCGACACCTCTCCTGGAACTTCTGTGTCCAGGTTTAGCATCAAGAGAAAGCCAAGAATTAACTCGTAACAGCTACTCATTAACCCTGCCACTTGCCAGGCACCATTCTAAGCACGCTCGTGTCAAGTTGTCTCCGAATCTACCCTCACTTTGCAGAGGGAGAAACTGAGGCGCAGGAAGGCGACTTGCCCAGGGCCACGTTGCTAGCAAGCGGTAGAAGCAGGATCTGAACCTGGGCAGATCTGGCTTCAGAATCTAAGCTCCCAGGCCCTGTTCTACACTTGCGAGCTGCTGTGCTTGGCGAGCCCTCGACTGGTCCAGCTCTACTCAGGAGTCACAGTGGATGGATGTAGGCTGGATACAAAGCAGAGCTTCCTGACCTAGGAGGCTCATCTATTGATAAGACTGAGCTGCTATTGCCACATATCCCGCTCCTCCTCCCACGCTCCGCTCCCAGGCCTCTCCCGGCCTCCTCTCTTCCTAACCCCTGAGTTTCGTGAGATCCCTCCTCTCCTCTGGGCATCCACTCCTGCCCCTTCCTTCCAGCAACTCACACCATTGACATTCCCTCCCAGCCTGCCCCTGAAGTCCCCTGGGCCCTCTGGGTCTGAGCCCTCTCCCCTAGCCCACCCCGCCCGCTTCTTCCATTGCAGGACCCCGGCCGCTCCCAGACCTCCAGCTACCTCTGTGCAGTTTCGACCTCTCTCTGCGCCTCTTGTGCTCCCTGCCACGTTTCTTCACCCTCTCTGACCCTGGAGACCGGTTCTCCTTCCCAGGGGAGGGCAGTGCCAGCCCCAGGAGCAGACCCTTGTCCTGCAGCAGCAGGCCCGCGGGACTCTTCCCAGGCAACGGCGCCCCAGCCCCTGGCAGCCTGGAGGCCTGCCTGGTGGAGGTGACCGCAGCGCCGTCCTGGGCCCAGCTAGGCATGCCGGGACCCTGCTCCTTCTTGTCTAGGCCCCGCCGGCGGTGGTGGCCGGCCTGAGGTGTCCGCAGTGCTGGGCCTGGGAGGCTGATGTGATTCTCAGGGAGGTTCCGAGCAGAGGTTCCGGGTCCCAGGGAGCCTGCCAGGCTCAGCTCCAACAGCACCAGGAGAGCAAGGAACAGCATGGGGGCAGCGTGGGTGGTGGGCCCAGCCATGGGCTCCTCCCTGCAAGAAAAGCAGCACGTGAGGGGGTAGCTCGGCAGCTTCCCTCCGCTTCCCCACTCCCAAGCCCCTTCACTGACGTGATCACAGCCCAGTGTTTCATGACAGGGATGGAGCGGGGCTTTGCCCTCCAGGGGACACGTGACAATGTCTGGAGACACTTTTGGTTGTCAAAACTGGGCAGTGCTACTGGCTCAACCTGGTGGAGGCCAGGGATGCTGCTAAACACCCCGCAATGCAGAGAGCAGCTCCCCACGACAGACTCACGGGAAAGACACACGAGGCTGAGGCTGCGAGCTCCCGGTTTAAATAGTTTCAGCAGCATCCGGGTTTCAGATTAGTCCAGAATCCCTTTCTCTGCATAAACCTCTGCCCTTTGCCAAGTCCCCTAGAATGAGCTGAGTCCCTCTAAGCTTAGAAATAGGCCTCTAGTCCCCAAGACTTGACCCAGAGCCTAAATTCAAACAAATGGAATAGCATTTGAGCACGTGCCATAGGCAGGAGTCGTGTTCAGCGCTTTGCATGAATTTACATCACTTAGTCCTTTCGGTAACTCTCTGGAGTGGCTCCTACTATTTCCGAAGGAGAAGTTAAGGCTCGGAGAGGGTAAGTCACAGCGATGAAGTGGCATTTATGTGCTCCGAACCCATGTGGCTGTCCCGAGACAGCCCAACTCTGTCCTCACTCCTTTCTTTTCCTCTGAGGTCTGAGCAAGTTTTGACAAAGCACTGTCCCCGCTGGGCTGAAGGACTCCGGAGGCTGGACTCTGACCCTGCAGGGTGTGTGGGGTGGGCTGACAGCCTTCCGTTCCCCACTGGAAGCAGGGCCTCCTCAGGGGACCACTGCTCTCCCCTAGGACCTCGGAGCTGAGGCTCATGAGGTCTGTACAGGGCTGGGGGATGGTGGGGTGTCTGCCAGGCTCTAGAGTCCACCCCCTGCAGCCCCTCCCCGCCAGCATCCACCCCTGCACCTGTCTCATGGCATCCAGACAAGTAAGTAAGTTCGGCACCAGGTTAGCCAGGCTGATTGAATTTTTATGGACTCCCTGGGCCTCCTGAGTATTCCATCAGGCTCACAAAGGTGCTTACACAACCATTTCTCTGTGATTTATGGTCATGGACTTGCCCAGGGCTGAGGAAAGGTGGGTGGGCTCTGATGATCCCTGCACGCCTCCCTCCAGCCCTCTCAGTTCCTGCAGCTCCCACACTGGCCATCCCGCCCGGGGTTCACCTTTAGCCAGCCCTAACTGAGGGGCCCTTGACACGGGCAGGGATATGGGGTGGGGGAGGGGGAGTTGGAGCTGGACCAGGCTGATCCACTTGGGAAGGGCTGGAGCAGGGGCAAAGGGAAGAAAACAGCTTCTCCCCGCCTCGCCTGGTCACCAGCTGCCCTCTACCCCGCTCTCTCATCATCCCAGCCTGATGCTTCCTGGTCCCCTGGGAAGCTGGGGTCCTGGCCTCCACTGCCCTCCATTCTGCTCTGGGCTGGGAGAAAGAGGCTGTCCCATCACTTCCCATGTTGTCCCGTGTCCCAGGAGCCACCTGTATATCCTGGGTGAGCCTCGGTGAGCCTTGGTGTGGGACCCTGGGATGGGCTTGCTGTGACAGCCCCCCGTCTTATCACACATCCTTCCATCCCTAAGATATCAGCTCTGCAGCCCTGGTCCGCTTTCAAGTTCACCTCACGGGCGGCAGGAGGCTTTGTCCCTTCAGCCTCACCTCCGGCCTTTCCATAATGAGGACTCTGGAGGCTGAGGCTCATGTAGCCGGGCGGAAGGAGGGGGCCCGTTTTAAAGCACTGTCAGGAAAGCAATGCGCCCCGGCCAGGGTCCCCGCAAACTCTGTTTCCAGGCCTGAGGCGGATGCTGGCTCCTCTGCGGGCTGGTGTTTACCAGACTTCACCCTCCGCTTCCTGTGACTGAGAAATGCTTTGAGCCTCTGTCGATGGTGTCCCTGCCCCAGCCTGCCCTTCAGTCTCACAGGGGAAGTGACAGCCTGGGAGAAGGCCACAGGGCACCTCCATCAACAGGGACCCCACGAGGCATTGGCCAGTGAATGGATTCCCAATCTTAGGGTGGGGAGGAGCAAAGCAGGACACCTAAAAAATGCAGGTGAAGGACCAGAGGGGTAGGCAGGCCCACGGGCGTGCACGGGCAGCTTGCTGTCCCTGTGGACACGCACGAGCCAGCCTCTGAGCTCAGTGACCGACCTGAGCACTGGTCTGAAAGGACAGCTTCTCCCTTGCAGAGCCAGGAAATGAAGCCGAGCCCCACACCCCCTTGCATCACGACCCTTCCCGTACTTGCCATCTCTCTCCTGCTGACCAAGACCCTGCCAATGGCTATGGACCCCAATTTCAGGGCCATCTTTGTTCCTTCTCACCCTTTGCACCCCATGAATCATGCGCACAGCCTGCCTGGGGCAGGGGAGAGGGGATTTCGGTGTGCCATGCTGGTGCACCTGTGTGGGGCCATCACTCTGCCCAGACCTTCTGAGCGCCATCCTGCCCCCAGACCCAGCCCATACTGCGGCCAGATTACTCTGATCATGACCGTCTCCTGCTCAAAGCTGTCCATGGCTCCCTGTTGCCTTTCCTTTTAACCACAGACTCCCCGCTTTGGCACTTAAGCCCTCGTATAGCGTGGCTCCCACCTGACGTTGCAGCCCTGACTTCTACTTCCCCACTTTGCAGCCAACGGAGGCCATTCCCTGGGCCCCAAACAGGCTCCATCTCTTCTGTTTCTATTCTCCGTGAGCCTATTCCCTCTGCCTGGAACACCCTCTCCTCTCCACCCTCATGTCTCTCTGTCCAAATCCTACCCATCCTTTGGGCCCCTTCCCAAACGTCCCCTCCTCCAGGAAGCCTTGTTCAGTCCCCCAGTGAGATGTGCTCCCTTCTCCGTGCTCCCACGCAGCTTTGCCCAGGTCTTGACGACCTCACATGCCATTTCGTGCTGGGCGATCAGCCTTTCTTTAAAGCCCCTGACTAGACAGGAAGACCCTAGGGGGCTGTGTCTCGCTTTCCCACTGTTCCTTCTGTTCCTATCAGATCTATAGGCCCCTGCAAATAATAGGCACTGGTAACTACGGATTGGAATGGAAACGGATGGAGCATAATTGAACTGACACCTGAGCAGAAGTTCATAGATATATTCTCAGGGTGTGTGGGGGCTGGGGTGGGGGGAGGGAGGATGACAGCACACTGGAGTGAGTGCTCGGGGACCTGGCACCACTCTGCCCTGACGACTGCCTGAAGCTCTCCCTCCAAGCCCATAAGGCTTGTACACAGATCTTGGCACAGCTCAGCAGTCAAGATGCCAGCCTGGCAGAGAGCCACTCAGGAAATGTGGGCTGCTACAGAAGTCGTGCCAAGGATCCACAGTGACGGAGGGCTCCAACCCATTTCTGTTGCTCTGAAAGCCAGTTGGAGGCTGCTTTACAAAGCGCCAAGCATCCAGGCGAAAAGGGGCAGCAGGCGCCCCACCTCCCCCCATCTCCCGGCAGCCATGGATGGCTCTGCCTGTGGCTTACTCACAAAGCCTGCTCTTCTGGGGCTGGGTCTGATCCCCTCACCCCCTAGATTGGGGACAATCGACAGCGTGGAGTTGTCCCCACAAGAGTTGTTGAGGGACATCGGGACCACCCACAAACCAGAGATGGTGCTCTCACAGCTGAAATCCAATAGTGACTCATTAAAAGCAAAGCAAAACAAAAGCATCCTTATAATAGGAGCCACCGCTCCCTAAGCAGCCGTGAAGCCCAGGCTCTTACTTATTCATTTTGCTCATTTCATCCATCTCTTATCCAATCTTCTCCACTGCCCTGCAGCACAGGTCGTTTTTCACATTTTTAAAATGAGGAAACTGAGGCTCTGGGAGGGTGAGCCACGAATCCGAGGTGACATGACTGGGGGGGTGGCAAAGCCCCACCTCAATGCCTGGGTTCTCTGAGCCAGTGCACAGGGGACAGACAGTCCTTGCTCTCCATCACCCACGCCCTGAGCTGCACCAGGGATCACCTGCCTCCCCCACATAATCTCCTGTCATTGCTGTGAGTACCGTCAGGACCCAGTAGGGGGGACTAGGCACTGGAAGCTAGGAAGGGGAAACTGACAAAGGAGGGGGAAAGGGGCTTATCTCATGCCCTTATCCTGTCCCCACACTGTGCAGGGTTGAGCTGCAGAGCCGTCTCTATCCAGAAGGCTGCCAGGAAGCAGCATCACATGCAAATGAAGGCAATTAATCCAGCCTGGAGGCTGCTTTGATTCCTGAGCCCCTCCTCGCAATGGCCTTGTGTTTGTGGGGGGCGGGCAGGAGACTAGGGGAACTCCTGTTCCACCAGCCTGGCAGACAGCTGTGGAGCTGGGCTGCCACCAGGCGATCTGAGACAGCTGTAGGTCCTGCATCCCTGACTTGTCTACCAGCTCACGGGGTGCACGGTGGGTCGGGTAGGGGAAAACAGGAAGTGGCTAGTGGGGTGGGAGTAGGGCTGGCCGGGAGGGGTCCGGTGGGAATCCTGTGCCAGGGATGTCAATGACACTGATTAAGGTGCTCAGTCCAGGCTGTGAGCCAGACAACCACCCACTGGGAGAACTTGGTCCATAGGCCCCCTCCCTGACCCTGGGCCTCCTCCTCATGTGTGAAAGGGACTGATTGGAGCCACGGCATTTGGTACAGATGTTTCAGGGGTGTCTAAGCTTTTGATTCTAAACAAGCTTCTAAAAAATATATTTTCAACTGTTTTGACAACTGTAGTAAAAGCAAGACACTCTTGTTCTCTACCCGATTTTAACGTGAGCACAGCCCCATCCTAACTTAGGCTTCTCCTGGGTCACTGAAGAGTGTTCCAGGGACGCAAGGCAAGCAGTTTAAAAGAACTGCTGCCATCTGCAACTACTTATTTACATACTCCAGGGTTTTCTGGACATGAATGACCAAAGCCAGTTAGAGGTTGAGTCTCATATTGACAGGTGCAACCGACATCCATTGCATTCT